TACATTCCTTTTTAAATTATAATCCATCAGATATATTCTCAAATATTTTACTTTAAATTATGAAGTGCTAATAATTCCCTTCATTATTTCCAGAGGATACAAAATATTGATCTAAAAATTATTAATTAAAGATTTTCTGCAAAAGGAAAAATAGGCCCTGTCTCATTGACAAAAGGTAAACAACAGTTACACCTAAAAACCAGAGTGAGGAGGTAGCACAAGAATCACCTTCAATTAATTTTTCTACAAGTACATGGACATGTTGCAATATATTAAAATAATTTACTTTTAACGTCCAAATGATGCCAAATACATAGATTCTCTTCAGGTTGGCTTCTAGGCTGTTTTATCGTTGTCTGTGTTGGTGTTCTTATGGGTTTACACAGATGTGTTTTTGTAGGTCCACCTTAGGAAATAATCCTAATGTGTTCTTTAAAGTCTTCGCTCATGTGACCAACTCTGCTTCAGTCTCTTTCTTATATCAATTTAAGTTCACAGGACTGTAAATACTCTAATACAAGTATGTGTACACATATTTGCTGTATGTTTATGCCTATTCCAAACATTTAGTAGGTTTATGTCATATTGTGTAAGTGTGGGGTACAGGTTTTTTTGTTTGATTTTTTTTTTTCAGAATGCATATACAAAGCTTGCAAGTTGTGTTTTGTAAATTTTCAGAATCTTTTCTAATTTCCGTGTTTGCTAGGTCTAACAAAAACAAATAATAACCTTCCACATTTTTGATGAATAAGATTTTGTTTACTTGCCTCTGCCATATTTACTTCTAAAAATGATAAAAATGTGTCTCTGCACCAGTTTCAGAAGATGGATGTAATGTTTCTGCCCTGCAAACGTATATATTAAAACAAATAAAACTCCATTATTGAAAGATTGCTATTTTGTATGTAATATCTCCATATAATATACATTTTAACTTCTACTTATGCCATTTTATTTGCCTTAGTTTTATATTAATATACTACTTCAGTTTTATTTTGATTAGAGTATCATTGGAGTATTTTTACCAAATAATTTATGTTTAGATATTCCATTTCTTTACTGCATATATATGCCTTCTTAAATATGCATTCCTTTTTTCTTCCTTATGTAATACAGACTGACAATTTTGAGTTCTTAATTTTTGATTGTGATTATTAATATATAGGATTAAATTTATACTTTTCCTATAATTGGTTTTACATTAATCAGTAATGTTCTTTATTTATGCTATATTTTATTCTCCACAGATTTAAATTTATGCACTTTATTTCTATCTTTTATTGTCTCCATAGAAACTTTGCATTAATTTGTGTGTTTAATTGCTACTTTATTAAGATTAAGACCTTGGTCCAGTTTATTCTGTTACCTCCCTCTTCTTTATATGACTTCATCCATATTTATATTTTTACCCTCAATAAATGGTACTTAGTTTTAACATTTGCATAGTTAAATTTTATGTAGCATTAAATAAACACATGAAAAAATTTGTTTTTTAAAATTATTTTGGTACACTTTTCATGTACATAATGATTACATTCATGGTAAGTAATTTATATAGATACATGGCATGTCTTGATTTTCCTCTTTCCCAATTCTATTTTTATCAGTATCTACTTTTATCAGTTACTTTTTCAGCTCATAAGATAGAAGTCTTCATCATTTAATTTTTCATTTTCGATCTTTGTTCTGTTTTTATTTCACTTTTTTATTGACACACATTCATACATTTAGAGTAAATAGTGAACTTTGTTTGCATAAGAATGCCTTGATCTACTTTCATTTTTGAAACATCACTTTAACACACGAGCAGCTCTCCAAATAGATCCTCCATTCACAGATTTAACTAACTCTGGACCAAAAATATTAGGAAAAATTTCATGTATACTGAACATGTAAGACATATTTTCTTATTTTGCCAAGAATATATTTTAACAACTGTTTTTATAAAGCAGTTCCATTGTATTAGATATTCTAACTAATCTAGAAATTATTTAAACTTGTAAGGTAGGTGTGCATAGATTTTTTTGTGAATAATACAATTTCATACAAAGAAATATAGTTCATGATGTAAAAACAAAACTGTGATACTGGGGTGTACTGTAAAACATTTTCACATTCAAGTTTTCCCTTTACTTCTTGAAAACTATTCCAGCAGTTTTTCTAGATTTCAATTATTGGGAAGTCAGACATAAGTTTTTTCCTTAACACAAGTTTCTTTTATGTTTTGTTAAATTTAAAAATATATCTTAGTTCTGTGGTGTTTTCCAGGTAAATTTGATGCATAATCTTGTGAACGATTTTGTTGAACCTTATACATCTGAAAATTTTCATCTTTTCTCAATTTTGAAAAAAGTTAAATGATATCTCCTTCCCTCTCTGCTCTCTCTGTCTAGCTCTCTGTCTCTCTCTCTCTCTGTCTCTCTCCTTGGTACCGGGAATCAAAAGCATGACCTCCAGCTTGCTGGGCAGGTGCTTTGTCGCTGAGCCATGTCCCCAGCCTGCCTTTCTTTTCTAATATTTTTTTTTGCCAGGATTCTTTCCCTTCTTTTTTTCTAGTCAATACACTAGAATTCTTAGTATAAAATCTTCTTAAATTTATTTTGACGCTTCGAAATTTTGGTCCATCTCTACAGCCGCAGTGGAAAGCAGTACGGTGCTTTGATTCAGCTATTCCTCTCCTGGGTGTAAACGCTGAAAAAGTAAAACTAGCATACGGCAGAGATCCCTGCATGGGCACAGCACCTGCATGCAATCATGGTGAGCAACTTTCGGAAGCAGCTTGGACCTGTGAATGGGTGAGGGACGAAGAAACTGTAGTATATGGAGTGTTACCCAGGTGAAGAGCAGAATGCATCCAGGTCATGGGCAGGAAAACAGATGGGACTGGTGATCATCTTGGTAACTGAGGTTAGTCCAACTCAAAAGTTGAATATTCTACATTTCCTATCACATGTAGGAGATGGGGGGATAAGGGGAGATCCAGAGAGACTATGTTCACATAACTCTTATTATAGTATAGTATCATTCTTTTAAGGCTATTTTTGATGATGTTTTATTGTCATAAATTTTTAAATTAAACTTTAGCCATGGTAATTGGTAAGAATTTATAGGAAAAAAGGACATATCACAGATGTGTTAAGATGGGTTATGTTCTGATAACCCCAAGCCTAGTTGAAAATGTTGAAAATAAAGAGCAGATTTAATGCCCTCATAAACCCATCATAAGGTTGCAAATTGGTAAGTGAAACAAACCTCGTTTGTTGGAGGACATATCTACAGGTCCCCACAGCATCTGCAAATTCAAGTTCCCAGCGGAGAACTTAGAAAGCATTCCCTAATGAAAAGATGAGCAACTCTCGGAACTGTTACGCTTCATTTTTAGTGCAATTCTCTCTGGTTCTTTTTAAAACCTTCTGGCTCATTGGGATAATCTTTCCCTCCTTCCTGTTTCATTTTTCAAATATGCTTCTCTTATAAGCTGCACCTGATACATCTGCTCTCTGCTTTCTCTATGAATTGCGTCTTCAGTGTGTACTTTCTGCTAATTCTCATTCATCATAAGTTCTGTAATTTTTAAAACTGCAACAACACGAGCCTTGAACATCGGTGTGAGAACTGTTTGAAGATCTCATTTTCAGGAGTCTGCAGGAGAAGCTGGCTATTGTCTCCCAGCAGAGGCTGGAGAAATCTCTGATTGACACCATCAGAGGCTTCAGAATGCACTAAGAACAGCGGAACCAGGCTCCCGAACTTGTGGCAGGCAGCTGTGGAAGGCAAACCTTAGCAAAAGTTGGCTTATTATCTTTTTTACTCTACCCAGAGGTAAGACAGACATGTAGATCATTCTGTGTGATGACAGTGGCTCTGATACTTGTTTCCACTTTGTTTTTGCTAATGATATTCATCCAGTAAAAGTCACACTTTTTAAAAGCTTCGTCCTATCCAGGGGTCTTCATGTCACATTGTTTCACTTCTGTCCAGTTCGTGAATGACACACATTTTCATTCTGAGTTCCAGCAAGAACCACCAACAAAATCTGTTGGTTTTATTCTTGAATAAGTTACTCTTTATATCTCGCTATGCTCCATCTGCTGCTATTACCTGTTTCTCAATGATAAGGGTAAGAATCAACCATGTTCCTGAATCTTTGAATCATTCCCCTCGAGTAGAAATACTTCTGGTTCTCTGATTTTACATAAATAACATTACTATTTTTTATCAAAATTTATGAAAATCTATATTCAGTTAAAATATATAGGTGCCTAAAATTCATTTTTAGATAACTTAATGGAAAAATAATTGCCTTTATTCTCCACTGTACTGCTTGGAGCTTTAAGAACTGAGCCTCTGTTTTGGAGTCAACAAATTCCTGCTCCATAAATCTGTTGACATTAAACAGAATTACAAAGTTTATTAAAATGTAACTACAACTTACTCCATATTTGTTATGAGTACTTGGAGAGTATTTAATGCTTAATGTGCAGTGTAAGTGACCTTGTAGAGGTGATTGTTTTAATTAAGTAAAATATACTTTGAATTACATCAAGTTAAGCAATGCCAGATAAAGAAGGACTAAGTGAATTAAGTAAGCATGGCTCTTCAGAAAAGAAAAAAGAAATCATTATAAGGACCATGTTCAAAACCTCTGTCTATTGGCTTTCAAGAAAGTGCCCAGTTTTAGACTTTTGCTGTCTAATGAATCTCCTGTATGAATTTATATTTGCAGGAGCAGTAAGTAACTTGCTAACATTCAAGGTCTTATTTGCAGCACATTTCACATTACATTGAAATATTTTGAGAGCTTGCTCCCCCAAAACATGACGTAACAACTCTGTGATTTGGGGTGTATTGTGACCCTGGTTACTTTGAGAAACTGCGAGGCCACCTGAAATGATATTTTGGGAACTGAAGAAAGAAACTGAAAGAAATTATTTTCAAATTTTTACCATGCAGCCTTGTTTTATTCTTGAACATTTTCCTAGAGGATTTCAAGGGTTTTAAAGAAAAAGACACAAGACTATAAAGAATTTGTCTTCTTGCAGGGGTTGTTTAAATAGCATAGCACATGTCTAAGGTTATGGTCGGTAAATTTCCATGTCAGGAAAAAGAACTGCTCCTTCGTATTTCCAATTGAAAATATAGATTATTCAAACAGATGTTTTAATCTATGTAAAATACATTTCTCTTGGAATTTATGCATATAATTAATAGATTTCATAACCTAGGGAATATGTTGTCCATCAACAAACCAGAATACTGACCACCAGTGTCCATGCTCACACAAGGTAAGCTGCAGGTGCACTTTAGTGGAAGGTGACTTCAGTAGAACTGATGTACTATGTTGGCAAGGTGATATTATTTAATGGCTTCATTAATGTTTTCAGCTCCACCTGAGAGTATAAAAAGAAAGTGATTAGGTCTCTACATCTGTTTTCTTAACATTTCTTTCATTTCTTAAGAGTTTTAAATAAAAAGTTGTATGTACAAGACATATTGCCATTAATCCTCCCCCAGATCCTCACCCTGAGCACATTTACCCTGTCATTCTCACCACTTTCTGAAGCATTTGAACATTTATTTCACATTTTAAGTACATTAAAATTCCATGGTCAGTGTACACTATTGGAAATTTTTAAGGTATATTATTTATAGTTATGGTTATTCATTTATTTATTTTTAACTAACAAGTGGTAATAGAGTATCCTTCTGGTGTGCACTGTGATTATTATTATTATTATTGCTGTTGGGGAGCAGATCTTGACCACACCTTGCACATGAAAGACAGAAGCCCCACCCCCGGAGTGCACACCCAGCGTGATGGTGTGTTTGCTTATTTGCAGAACTCAGATTTGAACCCAAAGCTTTGTCCATGGAAGGCAAGTGGGCTCTCCCTGCCACCCTCCCAGCCCTAACATTTCAGTCTAATTGGCATAGGGCTGAGTCACTCTAAGGAACATAGCGATTGTTTCATAGAGATCGCTGTAACTTTTATGTTTGCATTGCACTGTTTTCTGTTTTCAGGGGATGTATCCTGTCCCTTCCTTCCTTCCCTTCTTTTCTCTGCTTCTCTGTCTGTATCACTGTTTCTCTGTCTCTCTGTAAGTCTCTCTCCCTTCCTCGCTCCCTCTTTCACCTTTTCCCTTTCAACAAGAGAACTGGGAAAGTTCGGTTGAGTTCAAATAACTAAATATTTGAACGAGTGTATTAAATTCTTCACCCCAGACCACATTTCAGTAATAAGAAAAATGAAGAGATGAAAGAAATCCGTTTGGTAAACACTGAAGTTGATGTTGTAGACTAAAGATTTCTTAACTATGATCACTATTTTATTGTTTATCCTCATTACTTTTATATAGGGAATCCGAGGTGCACTGGCTTTTAGTTAACATTGTGGGTGTACATAAAAACCACATTTCAAACTGAAACCATACTCCAAGTTCTAAAAGGTTGTTTCGTTCTCTTTTTACTAGAGTTTTCTTGCCATCAACAGGATCAAAAGGAGAAGAAAAAGACCAATCTTTTATTTAAATTGCTTAGCCAACGAATCACTTTTTTGGGCTTGAAATATTCTTCCTTATCTTCTCCCGAGAGTGAAACGTTAGGAAGTTTAAGTGAAAAGCAGAATTTAAAGGGGAAGACCGCAGGGGACTGACCCCCCACCACACACCCCACTGTAAGCCCTGGGCGGGGCTGTGCCCACCCTCCTTATGGGAGGAGATTCAGTTCTAAGACTGAGCCCTTTCTCTTGTGCATCTTATTATTATTTTTTTTAATCAGTTTGGTTTTTGGAGGTTGAAATTAAAATTATGATCTTGTTATCTTCTTTACTCACTTGCCTTTGTAATAGCTTCTTTTAAACTCATCTTTATTTTTTCTTTCTTTCGTTTTTTTTTTTTTTTTTTTTTTGTATATTTGCTTTTCTCTTTTTTCACAAGAGGAGTATGGACTGAATGTTTATGCTCCCTAAAAATCCACATGTCAAAACAGCCTGCCATGCTATGGCACTAGTAGATTGGGTCTTTTGGGGATGTTCAGATTTAAGTGAGGTAAATCATCTTCATTTTGAGACACAAAACCCTTTTATGGGCCTTCTAGGATTTGAGTGCTGACTGACAAGAGCCACCCATGGAAAAGAGGGCCACCAACCAGACACCAAGTCCGCTACGCCTTTGATGGTGGACTTTCCTCACCTCAATTGTGAGGAAACAGTGGTTTTGCTTATAAATCACCCAGTCTGTGGTATTTTGTTATAATAACCCAAAGTGGCTTAAACAATGAGAGCAAATGTATTTAAAAATCCTTTTTTATTTGATTATTTATTCTTACTTTGATGACATCAGACCTTTCTCTTTTTTATACTGTCACTTAAATAAAATGAAGATATTACGTTTTCTACTTCAGACATTACCCTTAGTAACTCAGGAAGAAAAAAAGTAATATTGACAAATTGCACATATTTTTGCAGGAACATATATTCTTTTCTTAATTTTGCTCACAAGTAGTAGGAGGTTCCAAGGTCCTATCAGCATTTGACACATTTAAAGCATAATTTAAACCAGCCTGTGCTCTCCAACAAATTGGGAATATCTTCGGCATCTCTGGACATCTTCCAAACTATTCAATTTGACATGATTCCGGATACTTAAAATGACTCATAACTCCCTCAAGTTGGAAATCGATTGAAGAATTCCCGTTTATTCCTCTGTAAGAAGTTTGATTTAATATCAGTATAACTGTATTCCTCCAGACTTTCTAATATTAACTTCACATTATCTCCTTCTCAACAACTTGGCTGAGGGTGTAAATGGGCATGTAAAATAGTCTGACAATGACCATTCTTGTCCTTTGTACATCTTATGTTTAACATCATTGAACTCCGTCTTTGGGGGTTGTCGAGAGGAATAGGTAAACTCTGAGGTCCATATCCTTAGAGACAAGCGATTTGAACTTTTAATCCATACAGGCACCTCCTCTTTCCCTTGAGTGTGGGAAACTGAATACAAATTCTAAATCTTCAATTATGTCAGATTTAGTAGGGCTGTTTATACCTTGCTTGAAGTGGAGGTACCTAGTACATTTGTGTGAGATAGTCTCAATACATAGGAAACCAACTCTAGCAGTTCAGAGCAATTTTAGACTTTGAACATGACTACAGTCTCAAGCAATGCGTGTGCTCTATTATTATTTTTTAGACAAGATCTTGCTAACTTTACAGGATCTTGCTAACCTCAGGCTTTACTTGAACTCACTTATGTAGGTTAGGATGGCCTTGAACTCACAGAAATCCTTCGGCCTCAGCCTCCCACATTCTAAGATTATAGGTAGTGCCATCATATGCAGCTACACGTGTACATTAGGAACTGTTTTTTTGGTACTGGGGATCAAACTCACAACCTTGTGCTTGCCAGGGCAGGCACTTATGCAGCTAAACTAAATCCCTGGTGGAATTTGCTTTTTTTTTTTTTTTTTAACACTTTGTTTCTTTATTCCTTTAATCTATTAGCACCACCTGAAGTCTTTTCCTCATCCTTATTTTTCATTTTACCATATATATATATATATATATATATATATATATATATATATTTATGCTTCATCATTCATACAAATCATTTGAATCTTTCCTGATAGCAACTAGCAAAAGTCTATGAAATAGGTAATCTGAAAAGAATATCTACAAGTTATATGAAAAAGAAAAATAATTTTAAAAAATTTCCAAGTTTATCATTCCAAAGGGCAAGAAAAATGGTATGACATATTCAGAAAGCTGTAATTCTGGAAACCTGGCAAGTGCATCATTGACTCAGGTGGTCTCAGCAGGGCTTAGTGAGTGTGTGCCCACAAGTCCTGGTGAATCACACAGCCGTCCAGCGCCCCACGCTCATCAGCAAGGGTTTCCTCTGCCTTCCCTGCCTCTTGCTGTGGTTGCCCATCCTTGCTGTCAGACAAGTGATTAAAGGCGGGACCGTTAAGTTATTATGGCCAACATGAGATGCCTGGGTTTAGCAGAACAGACGAGGAAATCATAAATGCAAATGGAGTGATATGGAGTCCAGGTTGCAGAAGGTACGCATGTTAGATATGTGAGAGTGTAGAACTTTAAAAAAATAAACTGTGCACAGTGCCAGAGGTAATACCAGCTATCATTCCCAAAATGCCCCTGCCCGTTACCTCAGTCTACCTGGCATGTGGGTCATGTGTTCCATTCTCCAGATCTCTCTAAGGCCTTCACAGTGGGCATGCATTCTTCTGTTTTTGCTCCCGTCACAGCTGATCCCATCCCTCCCATTTCCTAAACCGAAGGTCACTGTTGTAGTTGGGCTGCAAGGAAAACAATTACATACAGGACACATAATTTATAGTAATATTTTATAATGGTCACCCGGAGTCAAATACAAGAAGTGCAGGAAATCTGCCCATGCACTAAAGACCTAGAAAATCCAGCCTAGAGCCTGGATCCCACAGCAATGTCCTGCATGAGTCCAGCTGAAGACTGAGAGCCCACAACAATGACTCATGCACGTCTGTTTTATGGATCTGCACTGAGAAGGCCCAAAGGTCAGCGGTGGAAGCTAGAAAGTCTATGCCAGCAGGGTGAAGGTTCTGTGGCAGTAGGTTGAGGGTTCTACACTGGAGCCAAGAAACAGTGCTCAAAATAAAGACCAGGGCTTCCCTGAAAAGTACCACACCCATCCTCAATGACAAGTTCCCGATTTCCTTGAACATCAGGAAGCCAGTGTGACACACTTCTCCTGGAGATTGAAGAGCACGCACCTTCCCCTCCAGAGTCAGGAAGTGATGCTACCCCAAAATGAATGGCACCACTCTCAGTGACAAGGTCCTGAGCTTGCCTGGACCAGCCCGGAACTTGTGATCCTCTGGCCTAGTCTCCATTTGTTTTAGCTCATGCTGTACGTACATACCTGGTGAGTTATGGGCATATCATACGCACTGTGGTCACACTGTGGCGGGTGGAGTAACCCTTACCCAAAGCCTTCCTGTTTGTCCTGCCACCAGTAGGAGCTCTGTGGCCAAGAGCTGAGGACATTCCCCAGTAATGGCACACACCACACCACGGAGCTTGCAGCTCCTGGCAGGACTTTTGGTATGCGGCCACACAGCACCAGGGAGTCAAAACTGAAATCTTACCATGTGGCTGGAAGCTGGCTTCCCTCCCCCATGGTAACCTCTGTGAGCAGAGTTCATGGCTGACACACCAAACTGTTTTGTGGTCTGTCTCATTTTGGTGTTTCTCCTTATAGACTCCTCAGCCTAATCACAGTTTATCCTCCATGAAGCATACCTCAAATGAATGTTTAAAACACTGTTGTAAAGTGTCTAGCTATGGCCGCACAGAGAGGGCTAGATAAATACATTTTATTTTCTTGCTGACATCAGTTGTCTTTAAGGCATGACCCAGCCTTTGGCTTTTTTGGATACTTCTTTCTGAGGCTTTTTTGGGTGCTTGGAGGTGTCTACTAACATCCTACCCCTTAGTTTTACATCTTCAAAAAGGTTCTAGTCACATTTTTTTTTTTTTTTTCTTACCGGTACCAGGGATTGAACTCATGACCGCCTGCTTGCAAGGCAGGTGCTTATGCCACTGAGCTAAACCCCCAGCCCCCTCTAGTCACATTTTTAATTGAGGCCATATTTCATGAATAGGAGTCTAGACATTGTCTCTGTCCCCTAGCATTGCCCAGTGTTTTGGACTTGTGAACCTTATACTGGCGAGAGAAGCTGGAGGTGATACACTGCTTTTTTGTCAAGCTCAATAAAGCCTAGAAGATCTGAACTTACTGTACTCACACTTAATTTTTGCTTGTCTCCTGGGCATTGCACTGTCATAATACACTTAGCAAGAGCCAGCAGACATTTTAATATTCAAAAGGTTCATTTTCTACTTCACACAACACAGCAGGCTACAATCTGCCAAATGTTTTACCACTATATTACAATTTGGGTGATTTTTTTTTTTTTTTTTTTTTTTTTTACAGTTGCTGTGTCATTTTCTTTCCTGATTATATACCGGCCAGCTTATTTATTTTTCTGGAGCAAAATATCAGACACAGCATTTACAGGAGAGGTTTATGTTGGCCTACAGTTTCAGTCCTGAGTCATCTGGCTCCAAGGAAGACACGCTATGGTGGCGTGGTAGGGACAGATGCCTCAGTGACTTTTTTCCTCACTGATACACAGCACCAACACTCACAAACTGCAGAAGGAGAGGTTTATTTGAGCTTATGGTTTTAGAGGTTTTAGTCCAGTCAGCTAGCCCCAAGGCAAGAAGGCATGGCAGCTAGGTCCAGGCAGAGGAAAGTTGGCCGGGTAAAGATTGTCAGGAAGCACAAAGTGGAGGGCGAAAGCGGGCAGGAGATTCAAGCTTCCAGGTCGTGCCTCCCTGTGACCGCGCCTTCGGGCCGGACCCTACCTCCCAATAGCGATTGAGCTATGTCCCCTTGTGATTCGGTCACTCTCTGGAACTCTATCTGTGAATGCATGAGACCTCTGTAGAAATTCTTGATCTGAATCATAGCAGCAAAGGAAAGTTGCTCACTTCACTGAGCCTGGAAAGTAGAACACAGAGAGGAGCTAGAGAGAAAGGCCTGAAGACCAGAAAATGTCCCTCAGCCACTGCCCTCCATGCAGGGAGCTCTTCTCAAATTAGATTACCTCTAACACCTCACTGAGGAATGAACTCATTAGTGGGTTAACCCACTGACGAGGTCTCTGTTCTTATAATCCAGTCACCTCTCTAGGCGTCCTTTAATCTAGTATAACTGACAAGATTAATCAGCATGACTTTCAGTAGGAATACCCATGTCTACCACTAGTCAACTTTAAAACCAATGTTGCATATATCAATTGTGTTACACAATGTTTTACATATAAAAACGTCCATAAGATCATAGCAACTTATACATAAACATTCGTAATATGTAATACTGCAGCATTGTCTAATGGAGTTGGGGGTCTGCTGGCACAAGTCTGCCGCAGGGTATTCTGCTATGTGGTTGATGCTTTCACTGCAGGATGGACCTTACTCATTTTCATTCTGAGATCCAGGCAGAGACATCAGCCATGATTTGTGAGCAGGTTTCTTCAAGGCTATGGCAGACACCCAAGACAGCAATTTCCCTGGTCAAACTCATCTCAATTTTCTTTTGGTTTATGTCTTCTAATGTCCAGTTTGCCCGGGAAGATTATATTGTTGAACCTGAAGTCCAGTAGATAAGAGGAAATATGTATATTTTCTGGAGTTGAGGATAGAGGGAGGGCATTTATGAACATCTGCCTGCACTACTGCATATACTCAACAATTTTTTATGACTTTTAAATTTTATAAATGCAAACGTTAATGTCAGAACTGTGATTTGTATTAAGGATTTATTGTTCATAAATTATTACCAAATTAAAGACAATGTATCCATGCTATGCCAATGATTTAGAGTGTTTGGATACAGACATAAAATATATAAGCTAAGATGATTCACTTTAGGCCCCAGAGGGCAGAAGTATAACCATTCCTTTTTACTAAGTTAAAATTGTTCATTCTGAAGAATCCATTACTGCAAAAATAGATTTCAGGAAAGCAAAACTCCCCAAACTGTGCATAGACAGAGAAATGTATGTTAGCCAATTTGTGAAGTTATTAGTGGTGCAACTGGTACGATCAATTTGAAAATGATTTTTGTGTTTGTATTCTAAAGGAGATCACACTGTACAACGGCCTCCACCTTTTCTTTTGAAACCTAATTCAAATCATTCTAGCATAGCATTCATCTCTCCACTGAGAAATTCCACTAATACAGTCATACTGAAATTAAAACTTGACTTTTAAAATTATAGACCTTGGGAACTCAGAGAAATTGCAATTACTTCTTTGAGAGAGCCATCGTTTGACTGTGGATCAATTATATATCATCTGTGTGAAAACCAAGACTGTATATACTGTTTTAATTATAATGAAATAAGCATTCATTATATACCTATGCAAAAGTGTGGAGTATACATAAATTTCGGTTCAAAAAATAGGATAGTATTTCATTTAGAAATTAAAAATTAAACAATTAATGGATGATAGTAACAAGAATTTGAAAAAAATTTTAGGTTGTGTTAATGGTTGGCAGTGTGACCTAACTTAGTTCAAATAATTCAGGTACTCAAGCATAAGGAAAGAATATAAAGGGAAGAAAACACATTAATAACACAGAACTTCCCAGAGGTCTACAACTGGGAAATAAATCTACAAATGGGGGCGTTCAGCATGGGCCCTAAACCATAAATATTTCTGTTAGACTGCAGACATATGTGCCCTTGATCTTCTAGAATGTTAATTCTGTTACAATTGGGATGATGTTGTTATTTCTATCAATTTATATCAATTAACTGTAACAGCGTTTGGGATACAGTGAACCAAACAATATACACTGATTATAGCTCCTTTCAAGAGTTGCATAGTAGATAGTTGTTGACCTTTTCTTCTCTCAAATGATCTGAACTCCTGAGAAGACTGGTGAGAGGCCATTGTCAACAGGCGTCCATCACAGTTAAATCTCTGTTTTGCTCAATGCCTCTACATCTGTGTAGAAATAGAGACTATAACATTGATGTAGAGTTCTACGTTTACCTTTCTCATTATGCATCATGCTATACTATCTCTGTGGGAAAACCGTTCAGTTGCTCAGTGAAAAAACAAACATTTTAGTGTCTCGTTAATTTTCTTCAAAACTTGACCTTTGACCTATTTCATCCGCAAAATAGGATGCTTCAATGCAACCTTTCTTAAATGTGAATGTAAGTGAAAGCAAGAACACAAGACATTCAAGGAAAACTCAGGAAATATGGAGACTAAAGCAAATACAAAGGATATCAGAAAGACATAAACACTGCAGAAATCCAGGGGAAAATCTCAGAACAACTATCACTGATTTCCCCTAGGAGACAGGAGAAAGTAATACGCACACATTCGTAGTCCAGTAAAATAAACCCTCAAGTGTAACAGTTCTATTGGAAATTTGAAACATGACAGTGTAAGTAAAAAGGCAGAAGGTTCCATGATAAATGTGAGAAAATTCTCAGAAAATAAAAGATTAAAAACTTTCAAAAAGTAGAAAAATAAAGAAATTAAAGTGTTGAATATGATAGTTTAGGAAAGTAGAAGAAAATAATTAGATAACTAATAGAATATTTTAAATAATGACCATATTTATTGCACACTTCACACAATGCAAGGAATGAGTTACAAAATTCTAACAAAGGTACATTATGAAATTTCAGAAACAAGCATTGAAGATGCAAAATTATTCCAGAAAGAAAAATGAGTAGTATGTACATCAGATTAAATATGTGAAGGGCATTAATTTCTCAACTGTAATCCAAGGATTTTAAGGGAAATAAGAAATGGATTACAAATTATGAAATACATCTTTGAAACCTAGTATTCCATACTATTAAATGAGTACTCAGGTATAAGGATTGCTAATATTTCTAAAAAATTTCATGGCCTGCGATCTAGCTCAGTGGTACAAGCACCTGTCTGGCAAGTGTGAGGTTGTGAGTTCGATCTTTGGTATTCCCCCAAAATAGTTCATAGTTAAACCTTTTACTTTTCTTTGAGACATAGTCTGCCACTATGCAGTTTCAACTGCCCTTGAACACACTTTGTAGGATGGTCTTAAACTCTCAAGGGTCCTCCTGCCTCAGCCTCCTAAATGCTGAGACTATAGGCATGTGCCTCCACACCTGGTTTAGCATTTCATTTTAATATATTTAATGGAAATGTGTAATGGGCATGTATAATGATTATTCAGTATCTGGGAATGAATTAAATTAGGAAATTAAATGCTTAAAATGTGTATAATGTTCAACTCTGTGTGTCATTTGCACTGGGCTCTATGAGCATGTGGTTTTGGTGCATGTGTGTGTATATGTACTGACTAACATACAAAAATAGAGTAAAGCAGATATAATTTTGCCATACCATGTGGTGAGTATGTGTTTCACTATTGTTACTATGTTAAAAATATACATTGAAATTAGCATGTGACTAAGTATGTGAAGGAGAGATAAATGCATATTCATTGTCACTGAATAGGTGCTTTGTAAGCAGACATCTAAGTAGAACTTAGAGAGAAGTGGAAGCATAAGAACCAGGGAGGAGCAGTGGAGCCCTCAAATGCAGCCTGGGAAGCCCGCTACCACCCAGCGCAGATATCTGAGGTGCATCACACATCATAGGTGCATCATAGGGTTCTAGCGGTCGCTGACCTCCCCGGAAAGGGTATTTTCTAATAGGACATCTCCCTGTCTCTACTCTCACCTGAAGGCACCTGTCGATGGAGGCTGGGTGGATCACGGTTCTTGGTGGGCAATCTGGACTCCATGTCAGGAGGAGATGAGCAGAGAGGTCTCAGGCACCACGTACTCAACCCAGATGGAACAAAGCAATGTCATATAATGTAGAAATAGAATTGAATTTTGTCTCCAAACTTTAATACTAGGTAGTTAATAACACCATGACTAGAATAAATGAGGAACACCAATATGATGAAATGCGGGAATTTCAAACTAAATGAAATATATTAAGAGCAAAATCATACCATTTCAGAATCGGTTTATAAATCCATAGCTTTTGGGCACAGAGTGGTTGTTCCTGAGTTGATAATAGGAATATGAATACAAAGAAAAGGTAATAGAAAACTGAAATAATATGAGAATATCTAAAATAGAAGAGGGTGACAAAGTCTGAAAGAATGTGTTATTGTTGCATGGAATATCAAATAATTTATGTGCAATCATGGAATTTTTAAAGGATGGCAAACATAAATCATGGAAAGGGGGAAAATGATTTCAAGGGGAATCATGTTCTCAGTGCTCGAGAAGGTCACGCACAGTGCCAGAACTCTGCGACAGCCATGGGCCACCAAGACTTGATATGCGGGAGAGAGAGGCATTCTTGGATATGTAAATACTCATGAGTCCTTTGTAAAGAAGCTAAAAACCAGGCATTTTTAAAACCAAATTAAAGTTAAGTATTTTAAAATACATAAATCATGGTAAAGGATTTATGTGGTCATTCAACCTATTTAGGAATGAACTAATATTAATTAACTACACATTATTATGGAAGAAATGGAGAATCATAAAAATATAAATTGTGCAAGAGTGCGTTTCCAATTTTGAAAAAGTTTGACTCATAACTAGCTTATTCCACGATTCTTCATGGTAATATCATGCATAATGATAAAATATTACCAAAATCAGTCAAGTGACAGTGGGTAATGCTCATAACTTCAGGCTGCTGTGTTTTGACTGTTTGTATCTGCTGTAAAACTCGTGTTGAAACTTAGTTCCCCAGGTAACAGAATCCAGAGATGGGCTGGGAGGGTTCTGTCCTGGTGAGCTGGATTCCATGTGACCCAAGGAAGCCACAACACAGCAGTAAGTCGTCCACATGTCACCTCCTGTCTCTCCTTTGCCCTGTGAAGACACAGTTTTCCTCTCTTCTGCCAAATTCACCTCAAGGTAGAAACTCAGAAAGGGAGAGCAGCCCTGCTCAGACACCAAAGCGACCGGCACTTTCATCTGGAGCCCAGGCTGCAGTTCCAGGACAAACCAATACTCGGCTTCTGAATTATTCACTGACTGTGGAGTGATTTTGCAGTGTCAAGGACAGAGCAAAACAGACATTTCACTATGACTTCACCTTTCCTTGAGCTGTGTGTCACTCTGTACTTAATTCCAGGAAGTTTTATCACAGGTGCACGCCTAAGCAGCTGTCACCTGATGGACCTTCTGTGTCCACAGGAAGACCTCTCCCGTGTCGCTCCCTAATTGAATGATTGCAGATCCACTCCTCATCTCTGATTTTGGAAAACAAGTGTATTCTGTGTCAGGATGCCTTCATTAACACCGAGATTGTTATGGTCTTAGAGGCTGCCTTCTTCTCCCCATCCTAAACATACCGCCCTGCAATCCATGAAATCAATAGTGGCAAGAATTTGTTCTTTTATCTCTGAGTGCTGAGACATCATAGAGACGTATCAGAGTGGGAGACAGTAGGGTCTTTTAAATCCTAAGCCATTACAAATAAATTCCCATAAAAACTATTATAGAATTTTGTAGAAAAATAAATTTTCATAATTATCTTAAACTAAACTTAGTTTATTGTTTGATATATTAACAAATTGATCACATCATACAATGAAATAGTCTTCCCCAAAGTTTACAGGAAGTGGTACTGCCAAACACATCCTGGAAGCCAACATTGGTACCAGACCATGCAAGGACTTAACCAGAGAGAGAGGGAGAGGTCCGAGAGAGAGAGAGGGAGACAGAGAGAGAGAGAGAGAGAGAGAGAGAGAGAGAGAGAGAGAGAGAGAGAGAGAGAGCCATTTTAACATAAATGCAAAAATATTCAACAAGATACTGGACAAACAGAACACACAAAGATCATGAATCATGACCAAGATCTTTGCTCTGCCATACCTTTCTGCTTGTAAAGATGCAACAGGTCACCAGGCCTAAATCAGTGAACGGAATCCATCACATAAACTCATCACAATGCTTTTTTTTCTTTTTGCTTTCCCTTCCTGTACCCTTCTTCCCATCTACCCCAAGGCCCAGATTCTCTTCCCATTTCCAGAAAGACTACCTTTCTGTTTCCTCAAATGTATCTTTTATTTTGTTAATTATACTTTGATTTCCTGGTATGGGAAAGACCATGAAATATTTAACTTTTCTGTTTGACTCACTTCACTGAGCATTATAGTCTCAAAATGCTCTTTGCCCTGTGGGTTTTTGGTTTTGCTTTAGTACGGTTGTTTTTTATGCCTCCCCTTCTCTCTTGAAATGGGATGGTTGCCTTGTGCCATTGTACCTGGGGTTATGTAACTTGTTTGTTGTTTTAACACAGACTCATAATGAGTTTGCTTAAAGTCTTGGAAAAGACTTTTCTTTTACTTTTGAAAAATTCTGTAGCTACTGAATCTTGGGAGAAGGAATGATCGCACATCTGGTTGTAAGGAAGGCATTTGTATTACACTAGACAGAGTTATGATCTTCTGTGTGTTTAGGGTTTGAGGGGATGAGTTTGAGTATCACATTGACAAGGGTGGGATATAATTGTGTCAACACACTTGGCTGAAGAAACACTCAGGCAATTAGAAAGCACATCTCTGGATGTATCTGGATCACACAGGTATAAAGCTGGGAACTCTGTATGACTCCCAGCTCTTTCCTCTCTGGTCCTGTTCCCCTTCTCTGTTTCCCAGCTCCCATGACTGAATATCTTTTTCCTGCCAAACTTTTTCCCTAAAACTGTTTCTGTCTTGGAACCAGCAAACCATGGACTCGATCCTCCGGAACTGTGAGCCACATGAACCTTCTTATCCTTTAGGCTACGAGTGCTCTGTTGTGTCTCAGCTGCTCATTGGCATGATGTGTTATTTTCCTCTCTTGAAAAAACTTCTCAAAATGTAACAATTTTGTTCAAAACAATATTACCAGAGTTTCTCCAGAAGGAAAAAGTGATCCTTGGGGAATTTATACCATTAGAGAGTGAGGTATTGAATTAGGATTAAGAGCAGACGTTTAATTGGTTGTTGTTGTTTTCTGAAAGAGGAATTGAATCAGACTCAGACAGCTCCATAGGATCTGTCCAAGTGGCTGGGGCAAATGCCACTTTTACACCCTATGTCTTTGGACAATAATCAGAAAGTGGAATTCTGAACACAGCCCCAGTATTCTATGTGTCCTGGCAGCTGGGAAGTCAGAGAAGCTCTGCGTAGGTGGAATCTATGCTCTCGTGACACGAAGTGTGGCTAAGTCACCCCAAGTTCTGTCCTAGTGCTTGCCTGTTTATACTCACCAGGCTTTGAGGCCCACTTGATCATAGAACATAGATATCCACATGTGTTCTTTCCCATGATTTTCCTTCTTATGGCAATATTTCTTGAGGTGCTTAGGATGAAATCCAGGGTTTTCTCACTGAGCTACATTTCAGGCTTTTTGTTTATTTCTCAGTAAGTTGCCCAGGGTGAGTTTAAACTGGTGATCCTCTTGCTTTAGCCTCCCGGAGTCCTGGGACTATAGGCCCATGTCACAGTGCCTGGTCAAATATATTTTTAAGCAACATTTTAAGCAGAAAAGATACCAGATTCCCTGAAAGATGCAAGAAGTGGAAATAAAAACCAAAATTCAGATACGAGACTGATAATAAACAGCCAAAGGCCTCGAGGCAAGGAGAGCAGAGGTAAGATGCCTGCTGACTTCAAACAGCAGGGGAGAGTCCGCGTGCCTGGACAGCCGCCCCAGGAACTCTGGGAACTGTCTGAGGGAAGGCTGTGCCTGCTAACACAGTCTCCATGGAGCCTCCAGGAAAACTCTGAAAATAAATGAATCCTAACCAGAGGCAAACAAGAGAAGGCTATAGGAGATTTTGCTATAGAAATGGAGCAAACTACCCTAACTTTATTCCTCAGAGACCCCAAGAGAGCCAAAGGTGCAGCAGTAGAGCAAGGAGAAGGCTTCAGGTAGGCCCCGACGGAATGCAGAAGCTGGAGGGCAGCCATGCTCTCATAGGCTACATGGCCACAGCCCACAGGAGCATATTTATCTTTCTGTGGTTAGTCGTAAGTTGACAGTAGAGGCAAAAAATTAGCAAGACAGAAGATAACCACTGATCAAGACCTGGTGGATTTGATCCAATTGCTGCAGAATCTGTGGTTTGACTACCTGGGTTAGTTGCTATAGATTATACATTTCATTTTTATATATGCTTCGGCTGTTGTAAGTTACTGTATTCAATCTCTTAACTGCTTGACAAGAATTGGAGGTGGGGGAAATTTGCATAGCTACAAAGAAGCAAGAATTATTGTTCCATATTTTAATTGTAGCACTGATTGCTGCATATGTATATGCTTATTAAAACCATAGCACACTATTCCTACCGAAGATGTATTACACTTTACATAAAATATAGATCAGTAAATCTGGCTTAAAGTAAAATTAGATGCATTAGTTCTATGATATTCTACAACATATTTTAAGTGTTTTTACATGAATATTGATTTACATAGTAAGTTCCAATTAGTGCAAGTAAAATGCATAAAGAGAAAGTGGAAGAAGTCAAAATAATTTGCAAACAGTGAACATGTTATATTAGAGAATCAAGGCTGGGTAAAGACCCAAGGAATGTGAGAAAGGCTGTGATGCATTGCGTAAGTGATGGGTTCAAGAACTTAGAGGAATTCATGACCACAGCCAATTAAGCTACTGAGGTAGAACTTTCTCCTAGTGATAGTTTTTGTGTGGCTATAGAGTAGGTTATAAAAAGTAGTAGAAAAGACAAAGCCCAAGCAAATAGCCTTGGGAAGGGCGGGTTAAACATGGGGATACGACAGGTAATGTGAACCCACTAGTTTCACTGGAGTGGAAAAAAGAAATGCATTACCTAGAGAAATTGATTTGTAAGAGATGAATAATTAACAAGGATGGAGACCAGAACAGGAAAATCGGGTCAAATTACATAATCCTCAATGTGAAATAAATTTGCATTTTATTTTTAAGGTCAGAGAAATAAAAATTTGGAGAAATTTACATTGAGTGGTATGAATGGTAATTGACTGATTATCCCACTCTGGCGTATCACAGGAGCATACAGGTGCCCAGCCTTGTTGGAGATGGTTATGCCAGGTATGTGGCATCCTGGAAATACAGGTAAATTTCACTTTCGACAAGAAACTATGGTTTGAGGTTGAGTACACATGGATTTATTAATAAAAATGAGGGGCTTCATGTTATGACCCAGATCTTCAGCGTCCCCTAAAAGGACGCTGTGTTTAGAAGGAGAAGGATCGTGGAGGTGTTCTGCTCACAGGGTGATGTCCTGGAAGAGGTTGAACCTGGTTGGAGCTGGGTCACTGGGGCCTGGGAAGTGAGTGTTCTCATCCCTGGCACCCACCTTTTCCTCCTGCTCCCTGGCTACCATGACATGAGTCCTTTACCCAGGCCCTTCAGCTATGCTGCAGGAGCCATGAAGCCAACGGATCATAGACCAATCCTGCGAGCCAAAATGCACCTGGCCTGCGAGTTGCAGCTGACAGGTGTGTGCCCCTGTGACAGGTGTGTGCCCCTGTGGTGATAAAGTGAATAGGACCCTTCCTACAGTTGCCTTTCTGAATTTCTCTGGGTGCTGGTGCCAGCATTCTACGCGAGGCTTTGTTTTTTGCTGATCCCGTATCTTTGCTCCTCATCAGGTATTTTGAATGTCTGGTCTTTGCCTGATATTCTGAACTTAACATACTCAGCTTACTCCCCTCCCACCCCTTTTTTCCACCAGAGATATGGATCTCACCATTGAGTGGGGAGAAATAAGGAGAAGGGGGTGAGGTACCCAGGGAGGCAGGGAGTAAAGCTCTCTTTAGGTCCCATACACCTTTCCTCGGACTTCTGCGTGTATTCTTTATTCTGTGCTTCTTTTGCTTAGATAGGAAGGGGAGCGGGGAGTTCATCATCTCATTCATCAGTTCTAGCTGTGTTGTTTGTTATGTAACGTACGACAACATCTACCAGTAAGACACCATAAAATGTTTGAATATATTGTTGAAATATTTATTCTCACCATTTCAAAATTCAGATGAAAATATAGATGTGAGAGCTGCAGTTTTGCTAATAAAATCACAAATTTTCCTCAAAGAAATGTTCTTGTTACTAAATATATTTCAGATAGAAAGGCTGCTATGCTTGGCAACAGAAGTGCTTCTGAAATATTATTTGTATCCTTTTCGTTTTCTCCCTAATTGTCGGTTAATGCAATGATAAATTCTGATAGGTCAAACAAGGATTTCAAAGTATGAACAGAAGTTATTTACCGTCCCCAAGTGACTACATGACTGAGGGCATAACCATCAGGGATTCCTATACACGTGACCTTTGCTACTGTAACATGCTTAACACCACCGTAGCTTACCAGAGCGCTAATGAGGGGGACAGAAGTCCCGTGATATGGTCGAATGTGCGTATTTTTAATGTTCATGGTATTAGGAGAGGTTTGGTCATAATCTCTGGAAAGACATCCTTCTATATCTTAATTTTATTTATAACTTTATGGAGGACAATCATAACTAATAAAAGAACCCCACTTGCTTAAATCAATCCAAATACCCTGACAGAGCAGCAATCAGCTAAGGAACTGTTTTCATTGTTATGAACAGATAGAGTCCCATCTCTGACTTCCTCTAAAATATTGTCACAGTCCTACATCAGTTCATTGTTTTACTGATTAGTGCTGCACCAAAAAGAAGGGAGAAAGCAGGGAAGAGAGGAAGACAGTTGGTGTTGCATTAAGCAAAGATTGGTTTCCCGTTTCTTAATATAGTTTCTATTTTTAATCTCATTTATTACTGACAACTTATGGGTCATTATGAAACTCAGTAATTTCTAGTCAATTCAAAACAGTTTATTCTCTATTTAAAAGTTCATAAAAATGCAGTTGATCATGAGGAATCAAAGCAAAATCAATATCAGAGTTATTGATTTCATTTTTTGTTGATGAACAAAAGCCAAGAATGTACATATGGTTTTGTGCTATCCTATTTGCTACCATTTGATAGAACCCAAACACGTGGACTCAGCTGTTACCTGAAGCAAATTTTATT